CCACACTGCATTGTACGCTTCTCTGGATGTGGATGTCTGTCAAAGGCTACACCTCAGTATCTACTGTAGTACCAAACACCACTGCTGTGAAAATCTGGTTAAAAAAAACAAAGCAAAAACAGAAAACCTGTAAATTTCTTGGTCAGATCCAAAGTTGGTCCACTGAGGTAGCAACTGCCATGTCCCCAATCATCATTAAGGGACAGCTCTGCCAGGTGACTCCAGAGTGCTGGGGAGGGTGTTTCTGTGGTCCCTAATTGTGATGCAGGAACCATGGGACGGCTAGGGGACAGAAGACTCGTGGAGGTCAGGGAGACACCAAGACCCTCCAGCATCTCAGGAAGCCAGCTGCAAACGGTCCCTGGAAAGACGGCCGTCTCTGCTGGCACCACCTGCCTGTCACACAGTCAGACCCTTCCCGGAAGTTCATGTCTCATAGATGAGTAAAGAGCTGGGATTTTGGAAGGTGTACTACTGGGATGAAGTCCTCCCCTGAAATGTGACTTTATTTGGAAACAATGTCTTCACAGATACAACCAATTGAACATCAGGTCATATGCTGTAACAGTGTGGGACCTACAGCCAATGAGATTGGTGTTCTTACAGGAAGAAAACGAGGCCACATGGAGACAGAGGAGGGGGGAGAGAGCACAAACCAGCTGATCCCCTGGAACGCTGGTGGCCCCTAGGAGCTGGGATAGGCAAACAAATCCCTCCCTGAGCCTTTAAGGAAACAGACCAGACCTTGACTTTGGCCTTTCGGCCTTGACACGGTGACAGGCAGAGCTGTGACTTTAAGCACTTCTATCAGCATGCTTATCCCAGGAAACTCACAGAGAGAGGCTCACTTCTCCCCAGGGAAGAGGGAGGGCCAGAACAAGGCCGGGACTGCAGCTCTAGAGTTAGTGTGCTCTTCACCCCTGCCTCCTGCCTACCCAGCCAATGCCTGCCTGCCTTCCCCATCAGACCAAATCCACATTTCTATCTGTCCTGATACCACAGGGCTCTTTTTCTTCCCCTTTCTTTCTTTTTTGTTTGTTTGAGATAGGGTTTCTCTGTGTATTCCTAACTGTCCTGGAACTCGATTTGTAGACCAGGCTGGCCTGGAACTCAGAGATCTGCCCGCCTCTGCCTCCGAGTGCTGGGATTAAAGGTGTGTGCCGCCGCCACCGTAAGGTTTCTAGAATGTTAGGTAGTTCAGCAAACGTATCACTTCTTATCACTGCATCTGTATTAATCTGCCGAAATGTGTAACGTAATACTATTAAGGTTCAACCACTCTCGCTTGCTGTTCCCGGCAATACTGGAAGCAACAGAAGATTCTTGGCTTTCTTCAGAGGCTGAGCAGTGGATTCGGGGCCACCACCATGAATGCCAGCAGCACAGAGCTCAGAAAACAGAAGGCACAAAGCCTAACGAGAAACCCTCAAGTTAGAGCTTAAAGGGTCATCTACAGTTCATGCCTGTTTCTTACAAATATCACCCAAACAACCACTCTGCAGGCCCTGAAGGAAACCAGTCTTTTAGACAGCCGCTGGACACCACCTGTCAGTATCAGGAGGACCAAACAGCGTCTTCCACTCTACTGTAGAGGGGACCTGACTTCTGTATAAACCACAAGAAAAAAAAGGTGTTTGGAAAGGGAAGCGTGCCGGTGGTGAGCTCCGCCACAAGCCATTAGAGAGCACAATAAAACAGCAGTAGGGCCTTATGGATCCCACAGAACCAGGCACACAGGCTCGAGGGCCGTCAAATACACACACAGTGCAGCCACACAGAAGAAGCGCTTGGGAAGCAAGGGAAAGTCTACCTATAGTTTCACATGGGCCCTGAACTTGTCCACGCTGCCATTACAGTTCTTGTTTCTGGATATAATTGACTGCTTTTTTAGTTCCATTGATTACATTTTTAGTTTACTTGTGATTGCAGGCTTTGTATCAGTCAGCAATCACTGGAATAGATTTTAGTTTATTGAATACATTAATTTTAATAAATATTAATTTCACAGAGTGAATATATTTACAATAGTCATTTGTATAATACTAGCTTTATACTGCTTTAATTAATTTTGAGGGTGAAATCCCTGGACTCTCCAAAGAACACAGAAGTGTTTTACAGCTTCTAAGATACCTTACTAAGCAAATCTAACAGACAGCTCTGACTGTCCTGGAACTCACTCTGTAGACCAGGCTGAGCTCGAACTCAGAGATCCGCCTGCCTCTGCCTCCCAAGTGCTGAGATTACAAGCATGTGCCACCACTGGCCAGTAGAAAAAAAATTATCTTTACATATTTATTGTATTTTGGTTTTGAGACAGGGTAGAACATTATCTTAATAAATTTTAATTGGTTCTGCCAGGCATTGGTGGTGCACACCTTTAATCCCAACACTTGGGAGGCAGAGGCAGGCGGATCTCTGTGAGTTCGAGGACAGCCTCCAAAACAATACAGAGAAACCCTGTTTCAAAAAACCAAAAAAGAAAGAGAGAGAGAAAGAAAGAAAGGAAAATCTAATTGGTTCTTTTTTCTCCTATCATTGTTTTAAGGTTTAGAAAACTAACCCTGTGAAGATCCTATTTAATCCCATTTTCTATTAACCGGCTCTCAAACCATTTAACCCTTGATGCCACCTACTGTTTTTTTATCTCTTAGCAGTCCTGAAATGCAGACTTTCAGGTTTGGTTCTAATCACCCACACGAGTTTAAGTAGTCTGAAAATGGCCTGCCTAATTCTGTTCAATTCTTCCTCCTCAGGCAGGAAGAGGCCGCCCTACTGTGGGGGCCCAGAAAGAAGCTCTGGCCTCCATCACAGACTCAGGTCATGAGGACGCACCACTTTAAGGACAGATTTCTTCTTTCTGTAACACAAAGCTCTTTCGAGGGTTCAGCTGTTACAGCCACACCCAGCCTGTCAGCTCCACTCAGCTGCGCTAAGGTCACGTAGTGTCCTTGTCAAGCTGTCCTTCTACTTCAACCAAACATTTTTTGTTGTGTGTGCACTTTAGCAGTCTTGTCCCGGTGCCCTCAAAAGGCTGCTGTGGAGTTATCAGGGTCAGTATGACAAACTACAGGACAAACCTACGGAGAGCGCTGGACAGGGTAAGGAACTACAAGAGTAAAACCAGGAAGTCATTGTAAACAAAGTGACACACAGGTTAGCTGGAAAGAAAGCCCTGGAGGTTTTCCTAGAGCTTTCTGAGGCCAAAGAATAAAGGAACCAGAGCTCACACTCTGTGGGTGACAGAGCAACCAAGGCTTGTGCTAGGGAGCAGGCTGAGGAGGGGAGGTCACTAGTGCAGACTGTGACAGTCGGCGGAGGGCGAGAAGGAAGCGGGAGATCTCGGGGATCAACAGGGTCAGTGAGAACTCCGTCTCCCCCACACACAGAGGACAGTGAGAACTCCGTCTCCCCCACACACAGAGGGCAGTGAGAACTCCGTCTCCACCACACACAGAGGTCAGTGAGAACTCCGTCTCCACCACACACAGAGGACAGTGAGAACTCCGTCTCCACCACACACAGAGGACAGTGAGAACTCCGTCTCCCCCACACACAGAGGACAGTGAGAACTCCGTCTCCCCCACACACAGAGGACAGTGAGAACTCCGTCTCCACCACACACAGAGGTCAGTGAGAACTCCGTCTCCACCACACACAGAGGACAGTGAGAACTCCGTCTCCACCACACACAGAGGTCAGTGAGAACTCCGTCTCCACCACACACAGAGGTCAGTGAGAACTCCGTCTCCACCACACAGAGAGGACAGTGAGAACTCCGTCTCCACCACACACAGAGGTCAGTGAGAACTCCGTCTCCACCACACAGAGAGGACAGTGAGAACTCCATCTCCACCACACAGAGAGGACAGTGAGAACTCCGTCTCCACCACACAGAGGACAGTGAGAACTCCGTCTCCACACAGAGAGGACAGTGAGATCCTGTCTCAAATATACATACTGAGGGCGAGACGGATGGACATGAACATAGACATAAATGGGTATACATAGACAAATGGCCAAGCTCTATCTCCTGAAAGACCTAGAAACAGAAACTCCAACAAAAATGAGCCCCTAATAACAGGTTCCAGTTTCTAAATCTCCTCCACCAAAGGAGCCAGGTCTCCTCAGGCAAGTCAGAGTGTCCTGTAGGGTAAAGACAAGCTCAAGGAAGGATGGCCCAACAAACCACGGTGGTCACAACTTACTCAGCAAACCAGGGAGTTGGTACCAACATTAATGAGTTCTTCAGCCGGGAAAAATGGGATATCCAAGACCTCGTCTGTGTCCTAAGATGAGCATGCAGTGACACTGCAGTTGTGTTGTGGTTATGTGAAATACCCATGTTTACAGGAAACACATACCACCAGGGAATAGCGTGTGAGAACTTATCTTAAACACCTGGGAAAGCATCTTTTTCTGCTATTTACAACTTTTCCCTAAGTATGAACCACTCTGAAGACACTTTAAGACACTTCTCTAATGGTCATTTCTAGCTAAGAAGTCTAGAAACGGGACGGCCACACTTGCCAGATGAACATTGCTGCCAATGCCCCAAGAGACAACCAGGACAACTGAGATGGGTCCCAGTGCTGAAAGGTCCAGCGACGTCAGGCTGGGACGAGAGAGGCAGAGAACCCTGCAGAACCCAGAACAAAACAACAAAAGTTAACATTGCAGGGCTTTTCAAGCATAAGGAGGACAAAGCGATTTTTTTCTTACAGTATTTGTGGTGTTTGAATAGGACTGGCCCCACAGACTCCTGTGTTTGAACGCTTGGCCCATAGGGGGAGGTACTATCAGGAGGTGTGGCCTTGTTGGACAGGCTTTGAGGTCTTCTATGCTCAAGCTAAGGCAATGTAGCAGTCTCCTGCTGCTGCCTGCAGATCAAGTAGAACTCTCACCTCCTTCTCTGGCACCATGTCTGCCCACATGCTGCCATGTTTCTCACCATAATGATAATGGACTAAATCTCTGACACTGGAAGCCAGACCCAAGTCAAGGTTTCCACTTTGGCAGCACATATACTACAATTGGAACAGTATGGAGAAGATTAGCATGGCCCCTGCAGCAAAGATGACATGCAAATTCACGAAGCGTTGCGTATTTTCTATTTTATTTTATTTTGGGGTTTTTTTCGAGACAGGGTTTCTCTGTGGCTTTAGAGGCTGTCCTGGAACTAGCTCTTGTAGACCAGGCTGGTCTCGAACTCACAGAGATCCACCTGCCTCTGCCTCCCGAGTGCCAGGATTAAATGCGTGCGCTACCACCGCCTAGCACATTCTGTATTTTTAACATGGTGCTAGGAAAATTCCCAAGAATCCACAACAATGACCCCAGCTAAAACTCCTAGCAATAGTGAAGAGTACCTGAACTGACCCTCCCCTATAATCAGATTGGTGACTACCCTAACTGTCACCATAGAGCCTTCATCCAGTAATTGATGAAACCAGAGGCTGAGATCCACAACCAAGCACCAGGCAGAGCTTCGGGAATCCATTCGGAGAGAGAGAGGAGGGAACCCATGAGCAAGGGAGGTCAGGATCATGATGGAGCAATCTACAGAGACGGCTGAACCAAGCTCGTGGGAAGCTCACGAAGTCTAGACCTACAACTTGTGGAGACTCCAGGGGACCCAACTAGGCCTTCCGTATGTGGGAGACAGTTGTGAAGCTTGGGCTATCTGAGGGCCCCCTGGCAGCAGGACCAGGATCTCCTCTGGTGCATGAGCTAGCTTGTTGGAGCCCATTCACTCAGGTGGGATACCATGTTCAGCCTTAAGGCTTGGTCCTACCTCAACTTAATGTGTCAGGCTTTGTTGATTCCTCATGGGAGCCCTTACCTGTTGGGAGCAGTGGAAGGGGAACAGGCTGAGGGGTGAGAGGAAGTGGGAGGGAGAACTGTGGTTGGACTGTAAAATGAAATTAAAATAAACTTAAAAAGTTGTGCCGGGCACTGGTAGTGCACACCTTTAATCTCAGCACTCGGGAGGCAGAGGCAGGCGGATCTCTGTGAGTTCGAGGCCAGCCTGGTCTACAGAGCGAGTTCCAGGACAGCCTCCAAAACAATACAGAGAAACCCTGTCTCGAAAAACCAAAAAAAAAAAAAAAAAAAAAAAGTTGCAATGGTCATGGTGTCTCTTCAAAGTAACAGAAACCCAAACTACGGCAGGATTGTACCACGGTCTTGTCTTTAAAAAAAGAAAAAATCAGAGCATCGGGGTTGCAAATATAGCTTAGTAGTTGAGAGCAATTGTTCTTGCAGAAGACCTGAGTTCAATTCCTAGGACCTACATGGTAGCTCATAACCATCAGTAACTCCCGGGGATCCGATGCCCTCTTCTGTAGTCTGCAGGCACCAGGTATTCAAGCAGTACACATACTTACATGCAGGCAAAGCATCATACATACATACATACATACATACATACAAAATAAATGTATCTGTATTTTAAAAGATATTTTCCTTGGGCAATATGAAGCATATGTTTAATCCCAGCATTTGGGAGGCAGAGGCAGGTGGATCTCTGTGAGTTAGAGGCCGGGCTGGTCTACAGAACACGTTCCAGGACAGCCAGGGCTTCACAGAGAAACCCTGTCTCAGAAAGAATTATGTTTTGCCTGCATGTGTTTGTGTCACAGGTGTAGTCCCCAGAGAGTCCAGAAGACAGTGTCAGATCCCCAAGAACTGCAGTTACAGAGGACTGTGAGCTGCCATGTGGTGCTGGGAATGGACCCTGCCCTCTGAAGAGCAGACAGTGCTCTTGACCTCCAAGCCATCTTTCCAGCTCGTACAACACATGTTCTGAAAGGCAGACATCATGGTCAGTCAGCTACAACTGGTGATGATACTGACTCTTGAGGTGCTATGTATTGTAATGGAGCAGGAAGACATGAACAATGCTAGTTTAAGAAAGAGTTGAGCTCCCGGGTGGTGGTGGCGCACACCTTTAATCCCAGCACTCGGGAGACAGAGAAACCCTGTCTGGGAAGAGAGGGAGAGGGATAGGGGGAGGGGGAAATTTACCTTCTCCATATGGAAGGCTTACACCACTATGTCTACTTGACAGCTAAACTTCCTACTTCTCCAGACCCCGCTGAATGTTTCCTCTTTTTGCAGAGCTAGAGGTCAAACCTAGAGTCCCTTGCAAGTGCTCTACACTGCACTGTAGATCTCCATTGCCCCTCTGAATCTCTCTTGTTGCCCAAAAAGCAATGAATCCATCAATCAAGATAACAACTGTGGCTGAGAAGATGGCTCAGTAAGTAAGACTGCTTCTGGGCAGGCATGGCTCTGTGTGCCCCGAAAGACGGGGCAGACTTAGGCGATCCCAGGAGCCCAATGGTCAAACAGTCAACCTAGCCGGTCTCAAGGCAAACGGCAAAGAACAACAGAGGAAGACAGCTGATACCCTCCTCTGGCCTTTGTATGCTCACACACTAGCACACTCATGGGAGAACATGTCATACACCACACACAAACACAAAGAGAAACCACCGGTAAATATGAGATGCAAACTAAAAGAAAAATTGAAGCCCAGAGTTCCTTTCAACAGGAAAGCTTTGCCAGGAAGAACCAGAGGAAGCAAAGGGAATGTCCAACTAAGAATCACCGAGAAATCAGAAACTGATGCCGCCTGCCTTGGCTTGTTTACCGAGAGAGGGAGTTAAGATTAGATTAACTGAGCAGAGGGTCTAGCAGGTAAGTCATAGGAAGGAGGGCCACGGTCAAGGTAACTGCCCACAGAGGGCAGGCAGTATGTCTCACTTTGCCCCATCTAGCTGCTCTACCCACAATGCCTGGTGTCAGCCAGCCGCTGGTCTTAGTCTTTCTTTGGGTCTCTCCACTCTTCTGTCTCTGTGGCTGTGTCAGTATCGTTACGTTTGCAACGGAGATCATCTAGAACAAACAGCATGTTGTCACAGGGAAGCAGTGACCCCTGGAGGCCACTGACATACGTGGTACACACCAGATACAAGCTAACTCCACCCAAAGGCTCCCTGCTTCCCAGTGCCTCTCCTTCTGAGGGCCCTTCAGAAGACACAGGGCGGCTGCCTGAAGGCACCTGTTTCTAGTGAGGGCACAAAAGATTAAAATTCACCATAAGGGTTCCAAAAACTGTGCTCAAATTATAAAAATCGCAGGTATTTCTAAAATGACAGCACTCTACCCCCCAGGCAAGCAACTACAACTCGTCCACCATGGACCTGGAGAAAACTGAACTGCCTCTTCCAAGAAGTCCCAGTGGCACCTGGCTCTAGCTCCCTGCCGAGGCCCTCCCGCCCAAGCTGCAACACTCCTGGTGAACAAACAGTAAATCTGAACTATGCTCTACAGGAGACTTCAGAGCAAAGAGGAAGCTTTTGAACGGTGAGTCAGGAGCCACGCCAGCTACAACAAGCTTGGGCAGTGAGAGTCCCCTGGGGTGGGGAGACAGCGCTGAGTCAACACCAGATGGGAAACCTTCATTCCAGCAGCGTACAGTCATGGAGGAACGCCTATGGCCCTGGATGAATCCATTCACACTTTATTTCCCTCACTAGCCGCACTCCACGACTTTCCTTTTCTCCGTTCAAGGCCCTTGGTTGCGGACGCTTTGTTATTACAGAAACAAGCCTCCCATTACCTCACTGTGTGCACCACCCAGCAGCGTCCCGACTTCCTGCTCCTCACCTGACCCTCCAGGAGGCAGTGAGCCCAGGCACACGCAGCACTGCCGGCAGCAGCCTCTGACAAAGAGAAGACCCTCTGCCGATAGCATCCCCACAATAAGGCTAGTACTGCTTTAACAGATTTAATTTAAACTCCAGGGCTGGGAAGCACTCAGCACAGAGCCTGGTCTGGCTGGCGAAGCTGGTTCACTCCCAGCACTACCTCCCCCCAAACACTAACGTGGAAAATACCCACACAGTGGAAAGAGAGCAGCAACTCTAACAGCCGTCCTCTGACCTCCATATGCACTCCGTGGTCTGCACCACAGCCAGCCCCAGGCAGACACACGGAACAAGTAAATAAATGCTAGACAACAGCAGCAAAAACACTGGTGGCGTCAGGTGGGAGACCCACGTCAGGAGCAGGGGTGGCGGCACTCAGGAACCTGTGGCTTACAGGGCTCTACCTTCCCCAACCTGCGTGCAGGCGTGCATGTGAGTGTGCATGCACGTGCACACACGCATGCACACCCCCCCACACACACACACAAGTCCACATCAGGTGCCACCTTGGATTGCGTTCAATCTTACTTTTTGAGAGCTCAGCACTTTGTCTAGACCAGCTGGTGAAAGGGCCTCAGGGCTCCACTGGTCTCTCTGCCCCACCAGCACTGGAATTAGGGGTGCATGTCACCACACCCTGATTTTCACAGGTGCTGAGAACCCAGGTCCTCACACTGCACGCACTGAGCCATCTTCCCAGCCTCGCAACCTTGTTTTATGAGGCACTCAGTGTCGTCTTGATGGACACTCACTGGGTGGGGAATGCAGCCCTCCCAAGAACCCCAACAACGAGAGAGAGGTATCCGAGGACACAGTAAAGTCTGGTGCCCTGCTGCTTTGGGGGTAATAGGATAAAATTCTTTTGAAAAAATATGTTTTTTTCCTGTAGCAAGTATAATTTTTGTTTGCCTGTTTATTTTGGTTTTTCAAAACAGAGTTTCTCTGTGAGGCCTTGACTGTTCTAGAACTCACTCTGTAGACCAGGCTGGACTTGAACTCACAGATATCTGCCTGCCTCTGCTTCCCTCGTGCTGGGATTAAAGATGTGCGCCACCAACACCTGCTCAAGTAGAATCTTTAATGTAAGAGCTTGAATACTGTTTTGTTTAACCTTGTTTTACAGAGACAGACATGGAGCAAAACTTAATCTGAGCGGGGAGAGGGAACAACACACGTGTGGAGCAGCCGAGACGACACACAGGCTCCGAGCAGAGGTGGCCAGAGGACACAGGACACCTTGCTGCCGTCCGACCACCGGCAATGCGGCTGTGCAGCAGCATCCGACCTGACAGGTGGTCAGATCACACCACAGGAAACAGCAGAGCTTCTTGACCCCAGGTCAAGGCTAAATCAAAGATCTGAATTCCCTGGGGACCTTCTTCCAGGGGACAAGCTAG